TTGGTTTGGGAAGTCGTATAGGTGTAGAGAGATTTGGCCTTCCTAACCCGTTTCGGCTTTGGAAGTTCCTCTCCTCAATGGCTGCGTCGAAAGCCTGTTTTATGTTCACAGGCTGTCTTGCGCGGACATTACCCCCAATTGGCTCTTTTAAGCCAGCAAGGAAAACTTGCAATGCGTTTTCCCGATGGGTTTGGATACGGTCTTCCTTTACGTGTTCATTGTTTGCTGAGATATTTGTATTGTTAATTAGTAAGGATAGCAAATTCTGTACTTGTCCAAAGAACTGTTCTATGGACCCTATCTGTTGTGTCTGGAAGAGTTCTCTGCAATTAAATTGGTTTTGATTGAGTCCCAATCAAGAGTTGTGCCATAAGTTTCTAAAACTTGATCGGCATCATTAATTATTTTGGCTCTAATGGCTTGAAGCCAAATTTTTTCAAAGGGCGTATTCTTTAAAGGTTCAATAAAAGGCATTAGGTTCTCTACGGCCCTTATGAAGCTATGTAGTTTGACGGGGTTTCCGTCAAACGGTTGAAGCTCTCTAACGGCTTGCGGGGTTTGAAGGGACTTCATTATTTTGTCGGCTTGGTCAAATAGCCTAGCCGTTTCATTCCGTTCATGTTCCATGTTTATATTTCTGTTCGGTAAAGGCAGAGGGTTAGGTTGAGGAGGTGGTGGTGGAATGGGGTTTTGATTGGAATTTGGAGAATTATTCATTTCAATGTTCTCTCGATTTCTCAGGTTGTATGGACTGTATCTGTCCATAAAAGCTAATTAAACCTTCAAAAATACAAGAAAAAGTTGTATTGGATTGTTAAACACGACTATTCTTTAAAATCTGAATGTAGATATGCGCTCTGCTTTTATTTCAATTTAAACAGATATTCACTCTGTCGGGGTATGATTTATAAACCGTCATTTAGACTGGTTGATTTATTTTAAACGGATGCCTTTTTGTTCTGGTCACTGTCAGATATTCGCTCTGCATTAACCGATTACACACCTGTAACCCCGGTGGATTGGGTTTGAGCAAGGTCTCCGGGAAAGTTTATTCGTTTTTCTTTGATTTTAAACGGATACTTTTCGTATCTGAACACGTCTAACAACAGATATTCGTTCTGCTACGCGAATCAGATTGCACACTGTGTCAGTTTATCACTGTGCCAGTGGCATGTATTGAATTTCTCCGTGGGCTAATCGTATTCACAACAGATATGCACTCTGCTATACGATTAGGTTCTACACCTTTAACCCGGTGGATTGGTTTTAAATTTTCTGTTTTGGCTTATCTTCTATTTTCGCATTGGCGAGTAGTTTATTTACAAGAAGTAAGGAGTAAAGTAAGAATAAAAGGGGGTGTTACTCACAGTAGTATTCCAAGCAGCATTTCCGTCTTGTTGCCTGTCGACTGTATCGAATCTGTTCGATGCTGCTGGTAGTTGAATTTGTTTTCTTCGTTGATGCTCCGACACTTCGTTAGACAATATAGTTCATTTGTTTGATGTTTATAGGAAGGTCGATGATTGACTTTGTAATCAATTGAGTTAACACGAAGTTTCACGAACAATTAGTCAATGTGCATTTAAGGGTTTTCTAGCTTCACAGCGACGAACTTTCATTAGCAATTAATGATGTGCCCTAGGCTTCGAAATCACAACAGTTTCGATTGAGTTAACACGAAATTTCACGAACATTTAGTCAATGTACATTTAAGGGTTTTCTAGCTTCACAGCGACGAACTTTCACTAGCAATTAATGATGTGCCCTAGGCTTCGAAATCACAACAGTTTCGATTGAGTTAACACGAAATTTCACGAACATTTAGTCAATGTGCATTTAAGGGTTTTCTACTTTGTCTCAAATAAATTTCACTAGCCATACACGATTTGCATTAGGTTTTCAGGGCTAGTTGTTGTTTATCACGTTCACTTGTTTGCCTTGCATTCACTTCACTTTTTCTGTTTTCTCGAGTAAAGCAGTTCAATCACGGTTGGCAAAGCGGTTTGATCACATTTAGTTAGACTCACTCTCCCTTTTTCGGGGAATATTTGAATTTTTTAAGATTCAACAAATTATCACTTGGGAGATAATCGTCTCCGTACGACTGCGCCAATTAAAAGTTAGGGGACCGCGGATACGTTTTTAAAAAGGAACTGACTCAAGTAACTGATGGATTAAGACTGATTTTATTAATTGAAATATTCCCTAAGCTAAGCTATGGTTCCTATCAAAGGCGCGTGGCTGTGGTGATCCATTCTGCTGACTCTGGTTTCCGTCCTCCTTGGTAACGATGTCGTGTGGTCGATGGACTTCGCTCTGGTTAGAATGCTGACTCGATGCGTGGATGGTTCGATGGGTTTATGATGTCAATACCCTCGTTGGGTTTACTGCACGCAAGGTGTTTATGCTGCAGTATGATACTCGGTGCAGTAGGGTTGGAGATACGTTTGATAACTTATATATATATTTTTTTTTGCTTTTTTTTTACTTTGACTATATGCTCAGTATTATTTCTGCCTGAAGTCAACGATTTACATAGTTGAAGATGCTAATTTCAAATAACAGACTCAAGTGGTAATTTTTATACGATAGAATGAGACTAATTATTTGAAATTAGCTATCTTATATTTTTATTTCAGCGAGCTTCGGAAATACTACAAAAAATGTATTTTGTCGTCCATTTTTTTCCCATTGTGATTGTTTTGTTAATTATTTTTGTTTCGACTTATGTAATCATTAAGTCTTGGCGTCTGAACGGGATCATCTTCAGATATCTAAACTAAATAAATAGGAGCACACGTCAGGAACGACAAAAACGGGGAACTTGTTACGACTTGGTTGTCACCCCAGTTAACCACAGGACTGCAACGCTAGTCATTTGCGAACAACCCGAGTGAAGCCAAAATTCTCTGGTGCTCTGGTGTTTATTTGACAGCTGCTCCTTTTCCTTTATGATTAAGCTTGGTACATGTCGCACTGCGTTGCAAAAAATAGATAGAACCGCAACCCCGGAATTGAGGGAAAAGTACTTAATGCTGGGTAGTTTTTCATCTCCATGTAGATTTGTTCCGTGTTATCTGAAAGTTTCAGCTCATTTGGTTCTAAGATGAGCTGGCACTTTTAGTTTGATTTTTGTACGGAGAATTTGGATAACATGCATACAAAATTACACTCCTACACTCTATTGATCATAAAAAAGTTTTTCCTTATTCTCGATTTGATTCAGATTTTCAAAACTTGTAGTTCAATTAATGAGTAGCAACTTATTCGCTTTTGAATGTATATGAACATTTTGTATATTAAAATTTTCACCAAATCTTATACACTCAGGTCTTTTTTACACGGGGGATACGTACCGTGTAAAAAAACCGTGTAAAAAAAAAACCTACGAGATTTTGATTTTTCGCATGTTTAAAAGTTTTTAAAAAATCGGATTTTGATGCCATTTGTAATTAAAGCATGATATGGTCCATATAGACATATTTTAAAAATTTCTGTATTTACACCAAATATTGTGATTTTTTTTTAATATGCCATTCGATTACCTATAGCTTGAAATAATGTGATTGGAATCAAGTCGATAGGTTGTATCGTTGTCGAGAAATCGTTAAAAACGTACCGTGTAAATCGTGGAAAACCGTGTAAAAAAAAAACGCGTAAAAAAACCGTGTAAAAAAAGACTTTAGTGTATATGAATATTAAACAAAAAGCGCCAGCCCGTGTAACGTCAAAAAGAGCTGAAACATTCAGAGAGTATTTATAGCACCAAAAGACACGAGCCTGGATGTTGGCATGAGGAAAATATGACCTTTTATTTCTAGTGATGATCTAGTTGATACATTGCATTTTGTTGCAATATACGAGCAGAATTCACATAGTTAATTAATATCTCCATAATACAAACTTTAATCATGATGCAATCTCCAGAAAAGTTGTTCCTTATAGTTTAAGCTACGTGTGCTGAAATTCTGAGCTTAATCGAGTTTGCTGAACCAGTTCTATGCACGGTAGAATGAAGGAATATTATTTCTCCATACATTTCTACCAGTATCCCCATATAAATTTTAAATCAAAAGCGACAGCTCGTTTTCATCCAAATCAGCTGATCGCGGTTTTATAGCATTCTACAAGTGTAAATCATGGTCTACAGAACTCTCATAAAACGAAAATTGTTACTTGGGTATATGTACCAGTATTTTGCCTTAATTTAGTTGCATAAACTTTGTCTCGCGTTGTTTCACGTAAATGTATGATTTTAGTTGCAAATACCTACTAGCTAATAAGCAATTGACGGATTGCTAGATAGTAAATTACTATCTTCTAGAAAGTTGTTTTTTTGTTGAAGAAAAAACTTTTTCACACATAGTATGCCATGAAATAATCTTTTAAAAAAGTTACTGGAAACAAATCGATTTTAATGAGCATTACTATCTCAATGAAACCAAAAAAATTGCAAATTGATATCTTCATTAAAGTTTATGGAAATGATGACTTCTACAACTCTGTAGAATATTTTTTAGTCGTAAACTGTCGGGCAAAAAGTTACATTTTCAAGTAGAATTTTAAGGTATTAACTAATTATCTTTAACATTTGATGGAAATTTAGAACCACATCTGTCACCTTAAACTTTTACACCATTGACAAAATATGTGAAAAAATAATCCTGGTTTTCAATTTTACCCCAAGAAAAATGTGTTCCACATCACGCTTTCATAATATTCAAACCTTCACTCAACCCTTTCATCGTAAGTAGCAGCGAACTTATCGAAAGGTAAAAACATCAGGTACAGAATAACAAAGAATATTTATTTTGAACGCTAGAATGTCGTTGTTATATACAACATAAAGTTATACAAAACAGACAAGCTTTATTTACATACCACATTGCATCGCAGTTTGTCAGTACCCAAAACAATTGTCGCTGTCATCATTCGATAAATACATTGAAATCTGTTTCAGCGTCTTCTAATCGTACCCGATCGTGTCCTGTGTACCTCAACCAAAACGGACATGCAGTGAGATTTAAGTAGAGAGTTGGCTCATTAATAGTTGTGCTTCTGTGGCCTTAGGATCTAGACTTTAATTCGATCCTTCCTTCCAAGTGCTGTGAGCTAAAGTTTTCTCCAAGTTGGTTAATAATTTAACCGTTATTGCCGAACGGAAGAGAAAAGTTAGAATCCAAGTACTCCAAGAATATGGCAGAGCCGGAGAAAGAGAAGGAGCCCCAGCAGGAACCCAGCTTGGAAGAGAAGAAGGAGCCAGAAGAGAAAAAGGAGCCAGAACCGACGAAAGAGCCAGACGCGACAAAGGAGCCAGAAGCGACAACGGAGCCAGAAGCACCAAAGGAGCCAGAAGCGACAAAAGAGCCAGAAGAGAAACTAGAAAAGGTGGAGGAAGAGGGGGAAGATAAGGCGGTGGAAGAGGGGGAGGAAGAAGAGGATGATGAAGAGGAGGAGGATGAAGACGATGATGAAGAAGAAGAAAGCTCTGAAGAAGAAGCTCCAGCGCCAGTGAAGCAAAAATCTATGGCCATATTCATCCTAGTATGTTCAGTTGTGCAGTAGTTCATTGAACGGATAAACCTAATAAGCTTACGAACTATTTCAGTTACACGAATTTATCGAGCAGACAAACAGATTCCTAGTCCAGTTTGATGATTTGGTAGAAAAGAGGGAACAACACAAATCTCTGTATCTAGCGCACGTGAACCCATTGAGAGAAAGGCTTGTGGCTTTACTGTTACGGTTCATGCAAAACGAACTACCACGCGACGATTACCTATATAAACATATAAAATGTTGCGAGGTAAGTTGCGTAAAATGCAAATCGTTTGAAACTATTCCAACAGTAGCGACAAAGTAACGGTTAACTTCTAATGATTGAAATGCAATGAACTTGATTTGATCGTTTCAAAATAAGTCTATTAATAGAATTCAGTTAACAGTTTAATTTTATCGTGAGGGGTGGCGTGTGTTTCTTTGTCATGTCTCATGTCTTGTTTCATATTTATCTTGTTGTAGGACGAGCCGCTAAACAATGAAGAATTTGCAGAGCACTACGAGGAAGTCCACAAGAAGGATGACGAGAGCAAGTCATTCTCAGAGGTAAATTATTGGATATGATTAGTACGAACGATGTACTCATGTACGTTTTATTTTAGATAGGTACTATTGATGCTTTTCATCAAACCTGTAACCACTACATTGCTGAGGGAAAAGTTGTTAACGTTGATTTACTCTTCAAACTGAGACGGCTACTGCGGAAGTCGAATACTGCCCTAGGAGGTGTTATGCTGGATACAAGCGAGTCCATTAAAGCATCGATGGATTAAACTATATATTTAATCAATTAAGATAGAATATTGCCAAACAAGGTGAACTAAATACTACAATCCATTAATCAAACGACTTATGATTCGAATAATAAAGCTAAGTGTAAAATTACTCCTTTTTTCTTTAATTTATCTGATGACCTACTTCTCGCCTGGATTTTCGTGGAATAATTGTTTGCACTTCTACAGTCAAATCTCCCTAACTCCCTAGCAAGCCTGTCGCACAATTTAAACATTTTCGTAAGTAAAGAAGGTCTTTGGAAGATAACCACCCGGGGTAAGACGGCCAGTATCTGTGTTATTGAAATAATAAACTTTTGAAAAGAAAAATATCAGCATAGTTCTGTGTTAACATTAAGGGTAATCTCTGGAAGTTCTATCTCGAAACTTCAAGGGCAAACACATCAGCGCCCAGAAACATACAATGATAAAACTAAAACTCCCGGTTTGCTGCATTACAGCAAATGTGCAGTTCTAGTTTTACCAGTGTATGATTTGTGGGAGCTCACATTTGTGCATTTGAAATATCGGAACAAGGTCTCCTTATATCGTTTTCGTGTTTGCGGAACAGCTATACCAGAACTGCTTCGCAGTACACCAAACATATTCAGGATGTTGATATCTGCTACACGTTTGTTTACAAATAAATTATGTTGAGCTGTCACACACTTCACAAAAACGAAAACGACCTTAGAGATTTACCTTAATGTTGTGAAGTACTTGCTTCATGGGGTGGCTTTCTCATGACTTTTTCGTTCCCGATGTTTCAACCGTTTAGTTGCGGCATTTCTCAAGGGTTTCTAAAACAATTTAACATATATATTAAACATAATTACACAAATTTTGTCTCAGTAAATTACTGTCGTTTCCCGTAACAAACTTTTACGCTTCGTGAACAGCGTACGTGTAGCTTTTTCATGACCTGTCTAATTTTATTTGGATAATGAAACCATGTGCTTAGGTTTAATTTGGTGGATTGATCATCATTATCTTTCTGTTTTATTTGAAAAAATAAATAAAAACTATCTTTTACACAGCACTACGACATTTGTTTTAAAGGGAGTGACCGTCACTCCATAAAGCAATTCCAATCAATCAGTCGAAGCCTACCCCATTAGCTTTGTGAAGTACTTTTTAGCTTTATAATAAGTGAAACGTCAAAATAAACAACAACAACAAAATATTGTCCATGACGGCGAGTGCTAATTGTTAGTTTGGACATACCTATTAAATTTAATGTTTTAGAACTATTATATTATGTGTCATGTAAAAGTAATGTTACTACTTTAAAATACAAGTCTGTTTGGGGTACAGTATTACAAGCTCAAGCATAAAGTATTTTAAGCTTGACTTGTACCGGGGATAAGATGGCCTCTGTTCGATGGGATTTGTTTGAGGTACAACCGGACCTGAATGCAGTACATGCTGAGGTTAGAAATTTCTTAGAATAGTCATTTGAATTGTCCTTACACAGAATATCCTTTCCTCTCATGCTGTACCATCGTCTCTCTTACACAACACAAACGGTAGAACAACGTTCGAGCAAAAAGAAATTTTTCAAATAAGACTATCATATGAAATGTGTGATTTCGTTCTAGTTCCTCAGTTTCGTGTAAATTAAACCATTTCTGTTCAGAAATGTTATTATTAGAAAATCGTTGCTTGCTATTTTCAGAATTCACACAATAAGCAGCTCTTATTATGAGAAAAACTAAAATACATACATTCGTGACGATCTTCGGCGACAGTGTCGTATGACAGAGCCTGTCATCTGACATTTTAGTGCGGTACTGTAATTTGATAGCTTGTTTTGCAAGTGTCGGAAGCAAAGGCAGTCGATTATCACAGAAAATGTGTCTACGGTGACCGCTTCAAGACTGCTCAGGAGTATTCCAAGAGAATGTCGATAATGATCCCAAAGAAAAATACCAAGGGAAGATTATTTAGAGAATGCAGAGGTGATCTTCTAAGAAATAGTAGTAATAATTGTTATGTATAGAATACTAAGCTAATTCTAACTCAGATCTTCCTAGGAAAATTCCACGGGGAATGTGAAAAGAATGCAAGGATAGATCAAACCTGTTATTCAGAAATAGTAGAAAGTATTTTTCTTATTTCTGAATTGCCTTATCAATTTTGATGCAAGGGGAAATAAGGGATAAAACAAATTTCAAGATCATGGAACTTGATTTTTTTTTCATTTTCAACATTCATGAACTGAGACTTGTGAGATCTTAAACTAGGACAATCTTTGATGCGCTGGACATAGAAAAAAATCAGAAATTTCCATGATACTGAGGCAAACAAAAATATTCACAATATCCATAAAAAAATTGAAATCTGTCATTGTCAAAAACAAAATTAGAGATTGCACAACCTTAAAAAAATCAAATGTTTGAGACTTTGACATTTTAAGGAATCTGCAACTTTTGAAAATTTCTAGAGTGTCAGTATCCTTAGCATCAGCGAATCCAAACACATAAAGCAACCAACGATACAGACAAAACGGTTGCTACGACTACCATGACAAACTCGCTCTGTAACATAGCTCGATCCGAGTGGTAGAAGGATAATGATATATTGCTTGCCTGCTTTGTTGCAATATACACGGATGAGGACATATCTTGATATGAATCGAGAAAAGACATAACAAAAAAATTCCCATTAACACACGTGTATCATCTTCGGCTTTACTTCGTGAAGCAGCTTGCCAACAATTTGCTCGTTTCCTTCCACCACACCGAATGAGTTGTGTCGAACGGGCTGCTTGTCATGAAAAAGAACGAAGAAGATTAATATCATTATTGCTTTTCACTTCTGACATAGCGCTATTATTCGGTTCGTTGATCGTTTGTCATTTTGTCATTTGGAGATATTTTTGATTCCTTGCTTAGCATTAATTCACACTATGGGATTAACCATTTTTTCGAAAAATCATGATAATCCATGGTTCACATTTTTCGAGTTATAACAAGTTATAATATTACTGGCATGAAAAATGTCATCATCTTATGGTTACTTGTGTGCCGTATTTTGAGATATATATTGACATTCTTACAAGCAGACTATCATATCACATTTATTTCAATCCCAAGCCTCACGCACGATAGTTTGATTGCATTATTTTTGTTTATTGTGAACCGCTTATCGCATGTTGTTAGTTCCAAATCCTGAATATTTTTTTGTAAACGATTTGTTCTCGAGCTGCTGATGCGATGGTGCATGGCGTGGTTACATTTCCCTTTGTTACCCGTATGACCTCGATCGCATGTATTCTTTTTTTTTTTTGTCGGTGCGATGCAGTGTTTGAGCTTGGCTGACTTATTGAAGTGAATTACGCTCGGAATTACGGGGATTGGTGATGAAAGTGCATGCTAATCAAACATGAGTATGATATGGAAGAACATTTAATGGTACCGTAAAACGGGGTAACTTTGATAGTTTGTTAAGGATCCTAGAGTCAATTCGTTAGTAATACTATATGTTTAACGGAAATTATTTTGTTTGTACTATATTTTTTTTGTCTTGCTACCGAAATCAGTTTTTTTTTTTAAATTTTAGAATTACTTTTATAATGCTGGATGAATATAGAAAAACATGCGTGAATAACAAACAATTTAGTTCAAGAAATGTAAAACTATGAATGAGTATATAATCAGAAATATCATAAGCAATAAGAAGAAAACATTGAATTTGTGATGACTATATCGGAAATACATTGATAGTGGTAAGCAGTGCTGTAAATTCTTAAAAGCATTTGAACATTTTTGATGAAAATGAGAAAAGTAGCTATTTGCTATCAAAGGGGACCTCCTTCGAATGGGTGATATCAGTCGCTTAGTCATTTGTCGAAGGCATGGATCAGTCTCATTTGAGAAACGCTATATATCATTCAATTGAGTGTAACCTACACATAAACGGAGCTCTGGTCGACATTCCAGCGAAAAAGCCGTCACCAACCTGACTTCTACCAAACCCCAACCTCGACATTTACCGTCATAAACCCAAAATTGACACGACAACAAGACGACAATGGGTCGACATCGACTTTAAATTAGTCTTACATTGATCCGACATCGGCACGACTTGTCTGTTCGGGGCAATTTTGCTGGGTTTCTTCCATACTCCACTGCCGTATATCAAATGATAGTGAGTGACTCAATTGACAGTGACAATGAGCTTCGAATGAGAAAGGGGCTCTTCAAATTATGGTCATGTGAGGATTCGTTTACACAGAATTGATTGAATGGTTGTATTGGTTCATCTTCAATCGAATGATATAAAAATTTACAGCACTGGGGGTAAGCTACATCCGGAATCATACTCTGATTAAATCCCGACCAAGAATGTCCAACTGCTTTGATGTCGACATCAGAGTTAATCAACACGACTTTAAGCAAACATTTCGCAGATCATCCAAACAGAGACGGTTTAAAAGTTTATTAGAGTTGGAGCTTACCGACATTACTACACTAATAGTATTCCACACAAATTGACAAATTTCCATGCAAAATTCCACGTAGTTTACATGTGACCACACATAAACAGAATCCACCCAGAAGCACACATGAAACTTATGAGTCAAATGAATAGTATGTGTGGTTACACATGGCTTTTATGTGTACACATATTAAGTATGTGTCCGACACATAGATATCTTTTGTTGATCACACTGCAAAAATTTATGTGTGGGGCACATAAAAGCAATCTTTGAAATTTTATCGGTGTAAGTAGTTGTTTGAGTGTCTTTTCAATCAGGCGAAAAATAAGAAGATATTTTTATTAGACACATGGAAAATATGTAAAATATACTGTGTACAAACTCTATACGATATAAAAGGTAATAATGCCATAAGCTAACAAATAGAACCAATTCAGAAATAGTGCAGAAAGTAAATTTAATCATTATATGCCACTATCAAAGTTACCTGCATCATCAAAGATATCCCGTTTTACGGTACCCAGGCATGGAAAATGATGTATGAAGCTTTTGTAGGTTTTGATATTAGCTACAACTGTTGTGAATAACTCAAATCTTTATATCTTATGCATGATGAACCAGGACGAAGAGAACCTACCATTGTTTTTCAGTTAAT